AATGACTTTTTCAGGCAGGCGGTCCTAATATGGAGCATTGATTATGGTTTCTGAGTGCACTTCTGCAGTTTGCTTGCTGGCAGGGTCATTGAAACACTGTAGAGTGGGGGCAGTGAATGTGGCTGTGGCTGGTACCTCCAACAAGAGCCTGGAATTTTAGAAAGCTAAGGAATGGGCTGGATCCAAGCATCAAGGCCACAACTTTAATCCTAGCCATAGTGCTTAGCAAATTCAAGACTCATGAGGTCAGCAAAAGAGAGAGAGATATACAGTAAAGAGAAATTCAAAGATGAAGTAAACCTCGAAATGTTGTAAAAATATATGTTTTAGAATATATGTGTGTTAAAAATATGTGCAGGCTAAAGGTTGAAGTCCTTAAAATAAAAAAAGATAGAAAGAGAGAGGAGTTGGGTGTGGTGGTACACAGCTTTAATCCCAATGCTTGGGAGGCAGAGGTAGACAGATCTCTGTGAGTTCAAGGTGTGGTAGCACACACCTTTAATCCCAGCACTTGAGGCAGAGGCAGGTGGATCTCTGTGAGTTCAAAGACAGCCTTGTCTACAGAGTGAGTTCCACGACAGAGATACACAGAAGCCCTGTCTCAAAAAGCCAAAAATTAAAAATAACAGAAATAGAGGTTGGTGTAGGAGGGTCTTCTGTTTATGTGTTACTTTCATTTGTTAAATAAAGAAGCTGCCTTGTGTAAACCACCTGAAAACACATCAAAAATGCCTTCTTAATTACTGGGTGTTCTTCTTTACCTATCCCCACATTTTATATATAGTTCTTTGTTGACACCTTTTGTCTAAGAAAAACATTGTTCCTCACATTAGAAACCTCATTGGAACTATGGTAAGCACAATATCTTCATATTTGATATGAATCAGCATATATAAGTCAATATAACTATATCATAACATACTGTGATAATACAACATGCTTAGTGAAAAAAAATCTAGTGTTAATGTATTTTTAACTCTACTCTTTTTATTAAAGGAAACCACAAATTTCTGTAGTTCTCTCTAAATCTCAAAGTCCTAAATAAATGCATTTTCATATGAACAGTAACAGGTAAACATAGTTTTAGCAATGTGAGACTTAAAGTTTTCCAAACACTTCTCAGTCCAGGTTGTCAAGAAGGATCTGATGCTAACTAAAGAAATTACTTTCAGTTTTGTTTCATTCCACAACATCCACTTGTGACCTTTGACACTAAAAACCAGGTGAATACCATGATCCGCTTATTAGGATTTTTATCTACAGTTGAATTCAGCTTTCTTTTCCCCATTTCTGCTTTGCCTTGGTTGAGTATTACAGGGTAATACAGCCCAAGCTCTCAGCGCATAACTTGACAGCTGAGTAGATCACTTGAACTAAACACGGGAGAAACAGCATTTCTGTCTCTCCCATATCCATGAACATCTGTGTAATCTAGCCAGGAGTAAATACATTCTTGATTCCTGAGACTGTGCAGACGGTTAGTGTGATTTTTCTCAGGTGAATTGTGTTTGATGATACTTTTAATGCAAATCCTGAAGAGCGATTCCAGGCGATCAAGGCATACAAGCTTTTCCGTCAGTAGAAGCTCAGAAGAGATGGTTGCTTCTGCAGTAAGTATGTCTCTGCTCAGCAGTTATGCCCAATTTCTAATATCCAATTTATAAACCTATATTGCACATCTTTACCTCTTGGTTCTCATAGTCCTGCCTAAGAAGTTTATCTCTGGTGAAATTTACTTGGCTCTAGTTCTTGTGAGAGTTATGATTGAGTCTTTAAATGTATATGGTTTACACAGCGTGGACTTCCCTCCATTTTTTTTCTTGCCTGCTAATTATTATCTTGACTTGTATTCTGACTGAAATGATGATGTTCATCATTGAGGGTTTCCTTGTAATAGATGAATGTTGTAACTTGTTAATGTTCAGTTCCTCCGGAGATCATTTCATATTTTCATAGAAAGACAGAAAATAAAAAATTAAAAATGAAAAGAAAGGAAATACAAATGTATGGCATGACCTCCATCTGTTAGTTTAGCTGGTTTACTGGCTTATTAAAATGCATATACAATTGTTGAATGATGTGGGTCAAAAAATCCTATGCTAACTACAATATAGTCCATTTATGTCTTCTTTATTTATGGGGCAAATTCGTGAAACAGAAACTAGAATTCCAACCTGAGTTTTGTAGTGCGGGAACCACAGAGAGAGAGAGAGAGAGAGAGAGAGAGAGAGAGAGAGAGAGCAAACCTTGCACAGGCAGGCCTTTTTCTCTGGGTACCCAAAATATCATTCTCTAGCCTCGTCTCACCTCTTAAAGATTATTGGCTGACAGAGATTCCCCATCATACAATCACATGGAAGACTTTACCAAGAATAACCCATTCACTTACAAAAAGAAGTATTAAAAATGGCATATTATAGAAAGCAAAAGTACACAAACAGAATTCTACTTGTCAATCTAGAATGTGGCAGATATATCTAGCTTCTTCTTATATAAAACTGATGCTGTATCATTCAGTTTATAGTTTCCTTGCTTTCTTTCTTGGACAGTGACTATCACAACAGTAATGCTGTGACTGTTTTTGAAAACCTGTAATCAATTAATCTTAATGTATTGATGTTGACTTCATTCACCTGTGTTTGGTTCTCTGTGACAATGTTTACCATTTCAGACATTCTTTTTGGTTTTTGTATTCTTGCATTCATATACAGTGTTTTATTCTGTAGCCAAAATATTTTGGATTCAGCAATAATTATTTTGAAGCATTGGCAAGTGATGTATATAATATAATATATTAATCAGGAACTAAAGTTTTCCCTAATGATTTTAATGTGTAGCCTAGAATTGGAAACTACCTTGCATTGTATCTCCCAACATTTTCTCCCATAGACACAATTGTTTCCTTGGGAAGCTTTCAGAAAAATAGGCATGCATTTATATCTTTATATTCATTTATTTTTCCTTTTATGGAAAATAGATGTCTTTCTCACACAAAAGTTCCTTAATATTGTTTTCTCCCACTCCACTACAAAGTTTTCACAGCAACCTATAGAAATATCAAATATAATGCTGTAGAATTAACCAGAGCATAAAATTAAAAAGACATAAAGCAAAAGGTCGTAAATTAGGAAATGAAGAAATCAATCTGCCCTGTGTTGGAGAAAATGTCATCCACTTTCAGACCAGAGCTCTCCACCAGAAAAAACAACCCTAAAGCTTACAAAATAATCAAAGGGCTAGAGGTGATATGATAATCAAAAAGGTACAACAAGCACATGGTTCATAGACACAAATTCAGGCAAACCACTAATACAAATAAAATGAAAATAGTAAAAATAGATGACTCTTTTCAATCGTGCATCAAAGGATGTGATAGAGTGAAGAGACAGTTTCAGGGTTAACAGAAAATATTTACAAAGTGTATATCACAAGAGTTAATGTCTAGAGCACAAATAAAAACAAGTAAAAATGAGCAAATACTTGTATAAATGTTTATCCAAAGGTAAGCAAATGGCTAATAAGCATATGGAAAAAGCTGCCAAATGTTACCTATCTTGGAGAAATGAACTCAAATGTGCTATGAAATATGACTCTGCATCTATTAGAATGACTATGACAGAATTCTCTGACATTTTTAAACAAGACAATACAATCTTCACATTGTTCCTTTTAAGAGAAATAGAAGGAACAGTGAAAATTCATTTCATAAGACCATATTAACCCTGAGTAACATATTGTGATATAGTCCTCATACTCTTCCTGTGTTATCGAAGCAGTGGTGGAACCCTGTACTTTTAGTGGTGAGTAAGTTTATGATGAAAACTGATCTAAGCCATGGATGAGCAACCCAATCTACTGCCTTCACTTGTCCTTTATTAATTTGCCCACAGTGTTTTTAGCACTTTTTCAGGTCTTAGAAGTCAATCTCTATCCAGTAACCACACACGGTTGTCAGATCTTCCATGGTCTTTCCCACTGATGTAATTGGACCTAATTGCCATAAGAATCTCTTCATCCTTCTTGGGTATAGCAGTTCTTCCTCTTACTACACACCTGACATGGGGCAAATATTCAGTTGACAACAGTGTAGACATGCCTAATGTCATTGTCTGATGGAGGTGAGACTTGTATCTTGTCTGTTGCTTTCATTGGTTAGTTAATAAAGAAACTGCTTGGCCCTCTGATAGGGTAGAAATTAGATAGGCGGAGTAAACAGAACAAAATGCTGGCGAGAAAGAAGCTGAGTCAGGGAGTCACCATGATTCTCCTACTCCAGACAGATACAGGTTAAGATCTTACCTGGTAGGCCACTTCATGGGCTACACGAAATATTAGAAATGAGTTAGATCAATATGTAAGAGCTAGCCAATAAGAGGCTGGAACTAGCCGGGTAATGGTGGCGCAGGCCTTTAATCCCAGCACTTGGGAGGCAGATGCAGGCGGATCTCTGTGAGTTTGAGACCAGCCTGGTCTACAAGAGCTAGTTCCAGGACTGGCTCCAAAACCACAGAGAAACCCTGTCTTGAAAAATCAAAAAAAAAAAAAAGGCTGGAACTAATGGGCCAAGCAATGTTTAAATGAATACAGTTTCCGTGTAATTATTTCGGGTAAAGCTAGCCGGGTGGCAGAAAGCGGCCCGCTGCCCTTATTACAACAATTGTCATGACTCATGTTTATCCAACTACTGTCTTGTACAACATTTCCCATGAGGGTAGAGGCTCTTGACTGATGATTCACAGTATAATTGGAACCGCACATGAAATATCTGCCTCCCACTCACATACCTTATTCCAGCCTGTGAATTTACAGCTTAAATTTGTCCTAGTTCACTTTGTCATGCTTCCTCACACAGATTTTAGTATAGACTGTAATTTAGAGTATGTCTTTTAGAATAATGCTATTCAAGAACAAACCATGTTTTATGATGATTTGATGTATTCTTAGAATACATAAAGAGCTTTGTACCTTGGCACTTGATAAACTGTTTTCTTACATGATAGGACATCTTGACATTTGAGGATGTGTCAATAGACTTCTCTCAAGATGAGTGGGATTGCCTGGACTTTGCTCAGAGGGCTTTGTACAGGGATGTCATGTTGGAGACCTACAGTAATATGCTCTCTGTCGGTGAGACTTTTATTTTATGAATCCTTTTTATTCATAATTGTTTCATATAAGTGTGTTTTACAACTATGCCAAATTATCTCCCTGACTTTGACATGCTTATTTAATAAAATTTGAAGTTTATCATATAGAACAGAATGCTTTTTAAAACTTTACTTTGTTAATATTTGTCTGATTCTTGGAGATGACACTGATCATTCAAACTATTACAATATATTTTACTTTCAGACACACCATAGATTATATAGATTAGCAAATTTATGTCTCACTTGTTTCAATAGAAATCTCAAAAAGAACACAGGATATAGATTATTAATAAAAATGAGTTTGAATATTTTAAAATTTTAGAAGAGAACATTTAGGAAATTACATCCTGAATTTTACATTATTTGTCTTCTTATATAATCACTCTGATGATGTACTAGAAACCCATGTGTTTTACTGTTATCCCATGATAAGGTCATATGTCTGTTACAACATGCAGGTATTTCAGTGTCAAAACCAAACCTGATCAGTTGTCTTGAACAAAGCAAAGAGCCCTGGAATGTGAACATTAGAGAAAAGGAAGGCATTGAACAAGGTAAGCTAAAAAGAAGCATTGGCATTTGTGGGAATCCTAAGACTTGGAGAAATTCACCACTGCAGTGGGGTTTGCAAAAATCTTTAATGAAAACGATATAAAAATTTACATAGAATAATTATCACAAAATATTTTCCAGGTGTTTTTCACATAAAAATGTAAAAATAAACTCAAATTATGGTACAAAGAGAAAGAAAGATGATTTGTTGCCATATTCTTAACTGTCATCAGGCCATGAAATGAACAATACTGAAAAAAAATCATTATAATAAAATAAAACTTTCCCAGTGTATGAAAGAGTATTTCTCTGCACTGGTTCAAAATACTTGTATGCTCTCATGATAGTATTACATGGTTTTCATTGTTGTGTAATATAACACAAAATAAGAAAATATAATTTTATAGTGGTACTCATTTTGGGAGATGGCATTATTTTTTCTTTGCTTTAAATTCTACAGGATTTAAAAGTAACTTCATCTATTTTTGTAAAAGTATCATTTAGAATCATGAATTGTTTAGAAACATACATATTATTCATCTATTTTAAAATAATCTACAATCTCTGTATATTAAAATTTATAATATGTTAATTTCCATATAAAATTTGTGTATTCTCTTATTTTCCTTTGTGATGTATTCTGCAATTCATTTTTTTAGAGAAGGAAATTTGTGTCTTGATAATCTATTATTTTCAATATTTATATTAATTATTTTGAATACCCTACAATGTCATTTGATTATATTCAATCCTCAAACACCTCCTACATTCCCTTTTTCCAGACAACTTTGCTGTTTTTCTCTTTTTCTTTTATACTCAAAGGGCTTTGAGCCTGGCCTACAATATAATCAAACTTTCAGGAGGTGAACATCCTTAAAACAAATTTTATTCCTTTTCTCTAAGCATCTATCAGGTGATATAAGCATCTCACAAAGGAGTGGGTCTCCATGTCCTTTCACCCTTTCTTCACTGGAGTTTTATCTAGCTTGAGCTTTTTCATGTCTGATGCATGCTATCCTAATCCCTTGAGCTCACATGTACAGGTGTCATGTTGTATGAAGGAAGCATGGTTTTCATGTAGTAATTTATCACTTTTTTTCCTTTAACATTTATAATTGTTCTGTCCTGAATAAGCTCTGCACGTTATATAGAACAGGTTTGATATAAACATCCTACTTAGATCTAATTTTTTAATTGATTTTTATGGAGCTCAACATTATTTCCTGCTTCCCTCCTTTCCTCTCCCCTCCAATTCAAACCCCACCCAAGGTCCTCATACTCCCAATTTACTCAGGAGATCTTGTCTTTTTCTACTTCCCACATAGATTAGAATGTTATCTTGTTTTCTGCACCATGACAACTTGTGGGTCACCTTTTAGATGTCAAGCTCTATGAGAAGCTATAGAAATGAAAGTTTAGAGATGCAAGAGTCTGTGTATAAGTAATTAGACATCAGGTATAATTTTGAAAGTACATTCAAGCATTAAAATTGTGGTAGTTGGTGTTACTTGATATCTTTCAACAATTCTTCTTCAATTTTGCCTGAATACTGTTCATACCATTCTACAAAGTAAAAGCAGCAGATCACTGTGAAATTCTTTTCATAAGGAGAGTGACACTGATACCTAAACCACTTATATGCTCCAAAAGTACACGAATGATATGACAAGTTCCTCATGAACATATATACAAAACTTCTCAATAAAATATTTGAAAACTGAATCTAAAAACACAACATCAAAATATCATTTACTACAGCAGGAGCTGGTGTAGAGGGGTTGTATTCTCTTCCGGGACAGTCTGCCCTAGGTGGGCACATACTCACCCATCTGGATGAAACTCCTCAGCACTGATACAGGGACACCTGGTATTCCAAGGACACCGCAGACACAAGGGCGGACATCGCCTATTTGTTTCTTAAGAAATGACAGAATGTGGTTAAATTCAGACCTGAGTGAATATGAGGAGATCCATAGGTGATTTGAAGCATGAAAGTGATAATAAGAATGTATTTTATTAAAATCATCTATTTTATGTGAGGGGAAAAAGGGAAAAATATGATTACAATGATATAATCAGTTTTCAGAATTTTTTATGTCTGAAAAGTTATGAAACTCTTCAAAGTGGTATACATGGTTGTCTGAGAAACAGTATAGTAGTGAGAAACAGTAATAACTGTTTCCTGCTGTTCATGTTTTCTTTCTTTATTAATTAATAATTTATCTGATTTAAATATTATTTGTTGGCTTATTTAAAGTGTTTGAAGAGATGAGATTTTTCTATAAAAAACAATTTCATAACAAATATTATTTTTTATACTTGGGCTTTGTAATAGTTACTTTTCAATTGCTGTGATAAAACACAAGGCATAGAAAAAAGATCAATGCTGATGAATCAGAAGGAGTAGTTTACAGGGAGCTGGAACAGCAGTGAGAGGTCCCGTATAGAAACACCATATGAATCAGAGACCTTATTAGTGGCAGCAGAAGACTTTAGAGATCTCAAATCAAGACTCTAGGAATGTAGACTTTCCATTAACTTGATACCTCTTAATCCTCCCCATAAATATACACCATCTTCAGGCCATGTATTCAGATGTCTGAATATATGGGATCATTTAACTCAAACCAGTATATTCTTATTTATTATTCTGAATATTATGCTTGAAAAGCTCAAGGTAATATAATTTCAACCCTGCCATTTTATATATTCTTTATTATTTATTTATTTTTTATTAAAAATTTTGGTCTACAGAGCTAGTTCCAGGGTAGGCTCCAAAGCCACAGAGAAACCCTGTATCGAAAAAGCAAAAAAAAAAAAAATTTCTGCCTCTTCCCCACCTCCCATTTCTTTCCCCCTCTCCCCACTCCTCTCCCCTTCCCTCTCCAGTCCAAAGAGCAGTCAGGGTTCCCTGCCCTGTGGGAAGTCCAAGGTCCTTCCCCTTCCATCCAGGTCTAGGAAGATGAGCATCCAAACAGGTTCAAGGTAATATATTTTCAGTCCTGCCACTTTATTTATTTTTTAGTGCATGTTATGAAAGATGTTATATCATTTGCCATGAGATATTGTTTCATAAGAATAAATAATAATCATGAGGGTTTTATGCCACATAGTATAATTAAACATTTCCTATTTTCCAGGTCTATATTCCCATCAAACACAAGACCTATTTGCACAGGAGAATACACAGGATTCAGTCCTGAAGCTGGTATCTGGAATATTGGTAAGTTTTAACCTAGAAACCTTGTACTTAAGAATATGTTAAAAATTTGGTGATGAGAGTAAAAAGAAAGGTTTATGTTATACTTGAAATAATTTTTAATCACCAGCCATCCTGGATAAATTTGCCAAAATAGGTCAAGAATCTCTACCTTATTGTGGATGTTGTCACATTAGATCTCATACATTTACAGAAGTTTCTTTTCTAAACAAATACACTTAAAGTCCTAAAATATATTTTTATCTGCAAAGAAAGTTGAAAAATCTGAAAACTGAATGATACATGTTATATCAAGCATTCTCTAGATTTCCCACAAATATTAATTACAGTTGTGACATAGTAAGCAATTTAGATCCACATGAGAAGGTTTTTCTCAATAAAATCACACTGAAAATACATCATAGATAGCTGTTTTACGTGGGAAAATTCTTACACAGGTGCTGATGCTATTAAACTGTTTCCTAACATCATAGATAGCTGTTTTAGTTGGGAAAATTCTTAGACAGGTACTGATGCTATTAAGCTGTTTTCTAAGAGTTTTAGGAAGAATAGGTACCAGAACCCTCAGTTGACCGAAAAAAAATGCCATAACCACTACATCACAGTACATATTTTCTCAGTATTTAAATACATAGTATAAGGGTATTATTCCTGAGAAGTGTACAGAGACTTTTTATTATAACACACACCATTTTTTGTTCCAGTATGACCAGAAACAAGAAAAGCATTATATAAACAATCAAAATGAAGAGAGACAATGCAACTATAAGGAGTGTGGGAAGAGCTTCAACAGATATTCCTGCCACACTAGTTATAAGAGAATTAATTCCAAAGAGAAGGCATATAAATTTGAAAACTATGATAAATCATTTTCCTATCATGGAAGTCCTCAAGCTCTCCAAAGAATCCCTTTTGGTGACAAACCTTACAGTTGTAAAGAATGTGGGAATTCCTTTACCCGTGTCTCAACACTGAAACAACATCACAGAATCCATACTGGTCAGAAACCTTACAGATGTCAAGAATGTGGCAAATCATTTACTCGTCATGCACATCTTCAAACTCACCACAGGATCCACACTGGTGAGAAACCTTACAGATGTCAAGAATGTGGTAAGTGTTTTACCACTGCCTCAAACCTACACACCCATCACATAATTCATACTGGTGAGAAACCTTACAGATGTCATGAATGTGGCAAGTCCTTTAACCATGTCTCAACACTTTATAGACATCACAGACTTCATACTGGTGAGAAACCTTACAGATGTAAAGAATGTGGGAATTCCTTTACCCGTGTCTCAACATTGAAACAACATCACAGAATTCATACTGATGAGAAACCTTACAGATGTCAAGAATGTGGCAAATCATTTACTCGTCATGCACATCTTCAAACTCACCACAGGATCCACACTGGTGAGAAACCTTACAGATGTCAAGAATGTGGTAAGTGTTTTACCACTGCCTCAAACTTACACACCCATCACATAATTCATACTGGTGAGAAACCTTACAGATGTCAAGAATGTGGCAAGTCCTTTAACCATGTCTCAACACTTCACAGACATCACAGACTTCATACTGGTGAGAAACCTTACAGATGTCAAGAATGTGGCAAGTCCTTTACTTGTCGTGCAAATCTTCAAACTCACCAAAGAATTCACACTGGTGAGAAACCTTACAGATGTCAAGAATGTGGAAAGTCATTTGCTCGTCATGCAAGTCTTCAAGCTCACCAAAAACTTCATACTGATGAGAAACCTTACAGATGTCAAGAATGTGGCAAGTCCTTTAACCAGCTGTCAAATCTTCACAAACATTGCAGAATCCATACTGGTGAGAAACCTTACAGATGTGAAGAATGTGGCAAGTCCTTTAATGATGTCTCAACACTTTCCAGACATCAAAGAATCCATACTGGTGAGAAACCTTACAGATGTAAAGAATGTGGCAAGTCCTTTAACGATGTCTCAACACTTTCCAGACATCACAGAATTCATACTGGTGAGAAACATTACAGATGTCAAGAGTGTGGCAAATTCTTTACCCATTTCTCATCACTTCATAGACATCACAGACTTCATACTGGTGAGAAACCTTACAGATGTCAAGAATGTAGGATGTCCTTTACTTTTCGTGCAAACCTTCAAGCTCATTGCAGTATCCATATTGGTGAGAAACTTTACACATGTCAGGAATGTGGCAAGTCCTTTACTACATGCTCAAGTCTTAGAAGGCATCACAAAATACATGTAATGGGCACACTTCTTAAAAGTTCTTAGTTTAACTCACACTAATACAGTTTACCTGTCTTGATATACTGAACAAATTATTTCAAAGACTCAAATCCTTAAATTACTTTCCAAGCTTTGTCAGTAATCATCTGGCACTACAAATCTAATAAATTTAATAAATTGTGTCCAGGTTTAAATATTATAATCATGAAACATTCATAACAAAATTAATTATTCACTATTTTGGGAGATGTAACCATTCAAATATAAAATATTATCAATAAGTAAATATCTCTAGTAGGAATGAATTAAGCAATAACATTCCTTGACTGTATATCAAGGTAATGTGTTAAAGAACCAGCCAAAATTACACTATTCCAGATTTTGTTGCATATTTTAGATCTTGGAATATGGTTGTTTAGGTAATGTGATTATATTCTACATATACATTATTTTCCTGTAACTATTTATGATTTCATATAAATAGGTGCTCATTTTTAACTTCATGTCTTTTCCTTCTTTGCAATAAAGATGTTAAATATTTTAGACATTTTTCATCTTTTTGTTTTGATAGTTTATACTTTAATTGCATGATAACATTAATGTGAGCTGTTCTGTAGATAATAGTAACAATATCAATATGTCATAACAAAGAAGTATATTTTTCCTAGGACATGTATATACTGTGAACATGTATTACTGTGATGACATAATAGGAAGTAAATGGACAAAAGCCAAATAGGAGATATATTCAGGTCTTACAAGGAGATAGTGGAAGTAGGAGGAGGAGTTGAGGAAGGCATGTTGCCACCAGAGATGGAGGAAGCTGGATGTGTGGTAGGTTTTAGAACATAGCATAAAAATACATGGATTAATTAAACTTATGAGAGTTAGTTGGAAAGAAACCTGGAATTTTGATCTGGCTTGCCCTTGCTCACTTCTCATGAATCACTGAGTTCCTAATTACACATTTCCCGGTGTGTGCTGAAAACAGTGCTTCTTTATAGTCCTACACAACATTTGACTCTTTACATCTCTCATAATTCTGTTCTGAACCATCCTTTGAATTGCAGGGAGGGGATGATATTTAAAGGATACTTAAAGCTGAACATATTCTTATTGTCTGCACTGTGACTGCAGGTTGTCTCTCTTTTAGCAGTAAACATATGCAGGTAATTTCTGAGATGGAGGCTTAGCGATGCAGTAGTTGCTGGTAAAAGATAGGAAATGAGGAATAATTTTAAACCTTAAGCTTGTATCAGAATAATAGTAGCAGGTGGCACTTTCTAACTTTTGGTAATTCTTCTAGAACAAACATGAATTCACCTCAAATAATTGTACAAACTAGAAGCAGAAGGAACAGTGTGACATTCTTTTCATGAGGACACTTACCTCAAAACCTAAGCCACATAAAATTTAGCAAAAAGTGATTGATATAACACTTTTAGCTTTTTGAGGAAATTCCACATTGATTTTATTCTGTGTTACCATATAAATAATTATCTTTTCTTCAGATATACATCAATATTTGTTATCCTTTATTAATATTGTTATTTTTCTTCGTCATTCTGATATGGGGAAGAGATTTCAAGGGATAGTTAATTTGCATTTCTCTGATTGCTAAGCTTGTTGAACTTTAGAAAATACCTCTCAAACAGAATTATAATTTTTTGAGATTTCTGTTTAGGTTTATGTCTAGTTTTAATGCTAGTGGCATTTTTGTTTTTGTTTGCTTCTTTGATACTCTCTCTTTTTTGGTGTATAACCATATAGTTCTAGGTATGTTCTACAATCAATATCAGATGTTAGCTTGTAATGTTATTTTCCTAATCTTAACAGAGTCTTTTTTTTGAAAGATAGTAATCTGTTATCTATGAATGGCAGTTAATTTTATGAAGTCTTATTTGTCACTACTTGGTCTTAAACGCTATGGTCTAAGGATCTTTGCCAGAAAGTCCTCTCCTTTGCTTACTGTGAACTCTGTGATTATTCTGTCTTTATAAGAGAACATTGTAAAAACCAACTTTACTTTCTTTGAATTTTCCACATCATTAAATTATTTTTGTAACCCAAGCTAATGCATACATGAGATTTAAATTAACCTCCTCGACAATAAATGCTAAATACAGTAGAAAGATAAAACATGATATGCAATGGTGTTTGTAGTACTGTCTGTTATTGGTAGTGTCAAGGGGGTTCATTGACAAGTCCTTGTGAAATTATTTAAAGACTTCAAGACAGTATCCCCCAAACCTTTCCCTTCTGATGCTCCTTGTTCTGATGTTCCTTGTTTTCTTCAATAAAATGACAGAATAAAGACCTTGATGAGGACAAATACATTGACAGGCACAACGACAATTTTATAAGACAACCTTCAGGAAGGCATAGATTAAGACTCATATAAAGGACAGATATTATAAAATGGATGACATCAGGTGAGTGAATTAGACTATTTAAATCTGGGGTTGGTACTGGCCAAAGGACAAAAGGGAGAAGTGATTACCTGTTTTGGTCTATAACATACCAATAGGTGAGTCTGAGTATAGTATTAATATATTTAAACTGGAATATTTTTGTGTCCTATGTGAGGATTCTCAATTTCAATGAATATTTCTAGTAAAGATAAGGCATCTCCATAGAAGAGAGTTTGGCAAGAAAGTATGAGCCAGAATTTGAGGGTTAATATATCGAAATCTTCTTTAAGATATGACATGCATACATACTTCCACTTCCACATGTTGCTGCAAATATGTATATGTATATATGTAATTATATATATATATATATATATATATATATGATTATGAAAAATACAAAAAAACTACAACCATTAGTATCTTACAGGCTATTGCCCTGAACTGATCAATAGCTAACAGTTAATCATATAAATCAGCTGCATCTTTCAAGCTTGTGCACATATTTTGCAAGCCTACTGAAAACACATTAAAAAATTATTTTTAGCTACTTGGTGTCCTTCGTTACCTGTCCCAACATCTTTCACATATAGCTTTTCTTTGTCACTTTTTAATGGCACTTTTTTATGTTTAAGTAAGAAGATGGTTCCTAAAAATAGAATCCTCGTGGGAATTATGATATGCACAATATATACTCTTGATACATATCAGAATATATGGATTCATATGAATGGATCAAAACATACAGTGATAATATTCTTCAAACATAATTAATGAAATCTAGTGGTAATGTGTTTTGTATACTAGTGCTTCCATTAAAAAAAGCCAAAAAATTCCATAGTTCATTCTAAATCTCAAAGTCCCAAAAACTGCATTATAACATGGACAATAAATGGTTTAGATACATTTTCCAATGTGAGAGTTAATGTTTCCCAAAACCTTCTAAGTGCAGACTGTTAATTAGAATCCCAACGCCAACTGTTGAAATTAGTTTTACTTGTGCTTCATTCCTCAGCTTCTATTTATTATTCTAAGAAGGAACCGCCACATCTTTGTGAACTTTGGCACTAAAAACCATGTGCATTTTGTGATCAGCTTTATTGGATTTTGATCTACAGTTGAGTTCAGCTTTCGTTGCCCAATTTCTGCTTTGACATTGTTGAGTAGAACAGGCCAGTATAGTCCAAACTCTCATTGAATATCATGTCTGCTGAGCAGACTGCTTCATCTCAGCAAGGGACATTTCATTAGTATTCTTATAACTAAGACAGGAGTAGATATTCTACTGATTTTTGAGATTCTGCAGATGGTGCATTTGCTTTTAGCATGTTAATGATGTTTGATGATAATTTTAATATAAATTGGACAGAAATATGCCAGAACTACAAGGGCATATGATATGAACACTTCCTCTATATCAATTCAACATAGTTCTTGACATTCTAGCTATAGCAATAAAACAACAAAAGGAGATCAAAGGAATTCAAATTGTAAAGGGAGAAGTCAAATTTTCGTTATTTGTAGATTATGATAGTATATATAAGTGACTCCAAAAACTCTACCAGAGAACTAATACAGCTGATAAACACCTTTAGTAATGTGGTGGTATACAAGATCAACTCAATAACATTCAGTAGCCCCCGATATACAAATGATAAAGGAGTAACAAGGTGAATCCTGCGAAAAACATATAGATCCACTTAGAAAGTCAAAATAGACAATATTGCCTGACAAAATTGGTAAAATAGGGGTGGTGAGAATAGAAATAGTGGAAAGGGAAGAAAAAGGAGAAGGTGAGGGATGAGGTGTGCTTTAGGGTATGAGATATTGGAGATGGAGAAAGGACGGAGATGAGAGCAAGGAAAGAAATATCTTGATTGAGGGAGTCATTATGGTGTTAGCAAAACACTTGGCTCTAGAGAAATTCCAAGGAATCCACAAGGATTAATCCAGCTAAGACACTAAGCAGTAGATAAGAGGGTTCCCAAACTGACCTTGCTGTGTAGTTAGACTAATGAATACTTTAAATATCAACATCGAGCCTTCATCCAGCAACTGATGCCAACAGAGGCTGAGACCAGCACCAGAGCATGGAAATGATCTGCCAAAGTCCAGTTGAAGAGTGGGACGAATGAGAATTGGAGAAAAGAGGTAAAGACCATGATGGGTTCACCCACTGAAATAATCTGCCTGAGCTAATGGGAGCTCACCAACAACAGCCAGACTGTGAAGGACAAGTATAGGACCAAACTAGACCCTCCGAATCTGGTTGACAGTGGCATGGCTAAGGCAGACTGAGTGGCCACTGACAGTGACATCAGGAATTATACCTACAGCTTTTACTGGCATTTTGGGATCCTATTCT